TCTACCACCGCAGAACTGCCGACCTTGAGCTCACGGAGCTTGACATATGAGGGGCGATGGGATTTTGGTGCAGCGACCTCTAAGAATTGGTTTGTGTGGCGGTGGGATTTTGGAGCTGCGGCGACGGGAAGTCAGGAATGGTGTCCAGACTTACAGAGAACTTGGGAAGAGTGAAGTCTGAACTCTGGACAGAGACAAGGTGAGCGCTGGGGAGAGCAGGGCGCGAGAGAGATCAAAGATGATGCTGACTCGCTGAGGCGTCATAGGCAGTGCACGTATTCAAAACCACTTGCTGTAAACCGGAGGGATGGTGATTGTCCGGTTTTGAGAGATTGAGGACTAAATGTATCCAGTATCAAAGATGAGGGATCAATTTTGAACTGGAGTCAAAGTTGAGGGATGGAAGTTAGACTTCTTCCTTTTATTGAATGGCCCACTCTTGTATAAAATGGTATATTTTTCCCCCAATTTTAACAATTCATCAACAATAAAAATCACTATAAACTTACTATCCACAATTATTGTTGGTTATGTGATTGTAAGGAAAAGTGTTGTGAATCCCCCACATGGGACGCCAGAGTAATGCACCAGCCCTGAAATATCGAGCAGCTATTACAGTAACACGTTCCAAACGTGAGGAAACTTAAAAACACTCTTAAATTGCAAGTCTCGAGTCTACAAAACACTGACAAACTCAGTCGCGCCCCAGGAGCGTCTCCCGGTGCCTCCTCCCGACGAGGTGCGACGCCAGCATCGTATCGCTGTTGCAGTGCGCGTCGCAGACGTTGCAGCAGTACGTGTTCTTCCCCGGCTCAGCGTCCTTGCGGCTGTAGCAACACTTGAACTTGGCGAGGATGGCCTCCGTCTTCACCCGGTGCCGCCTGCCGCCGAGGTGTTCCTGGAGGGTCGACGCGGAGGAGCACTTGGCGTCGCAGATGTTGCACGTCCACTTCGACGACGACGACGCCGGCGCTCGGTCCTCATCCTCCGCAGGCCGTGCCGCGTTCCCGCCACCGCCGCCGTTCTCTGCCACGCTCGCGTTCCGGCGAGAGGCCGGGGGTTCAGGCGTGGGGCGCGTGGCCTCTTCTGAGGTCTTCATCCTGGCTTGCAGCTTCGACACGTGCATCTTGCCGGCCCAGTGCTCGACCAGGTTGCGCGGGCCGGTCGTGCTCACCTGGCACAGGTCGCAGGACCATTGGCCGAGTGGTTTCTGCTTCTTGGCGACGGGCGAAGTCGCCGCGGTCAGCTTCCTCTTCATGCCAGATTCAGCTTGAGATGTAGGCTGTGTTAGAGGAAGTTTGTTTAGAATTCAGAGCAGTAGTGAGATCTCAAAACAACGAAAGGAACAATCTATGGACTGATGGTCGATGCAGTTTCAGGATAAACTCTATTGTTTCGCTGCATTTAGTTTTTGACTTTGGTTTATAGAAAGATTTGAATTTTTAACACATGACAGAAAACATCTTCAAGTTTCCGGCATACTAGTATAATGAATCTGTTTTTGATTGTAACGAAGGTGAGTTCATAAAAGTCATTTGAATGTATGTACTGCACATGTAAGAAACATATGCTAACTTACTCGGCTTCTGTTTTCATCTAGCAAAAATAAAGCTTAAGAATGCAAACCCTTCAAGTTTCAGGCATACTGCTATAGTGAATCTGCTTTTGATTGTAAAGAAGACGAGTTCAGAAAAGTCATTTGAGTGTATGACTGCACATGTACGAATCATATGCTAACTTACTTGGCTGCTGTTTTCATCAAGCCAAAAGAAAGCTTAAGAATGCAAACTGTGCTGCAGTTTTCGAGCGTTTAGAATCATTATTCATTTTAAACTGCTAGTGAACAACTACCAAAATTAGTCTAAGCAACACTCCGCTGGGAAATAATAGAGCGAAAAAAGCAATGAGGAAATAGTCTAAAGAAGGTGAGCTCACCTCTCTGAACCCTATTTGCTTCTGCTCACCGGAAGTTCCGTTCTCCTGACATGTCGGACTGTGCTGAAACAACTGTGCCAAAAATTCATCCCTCCAATCCTTCACGGTTGATTCCGCAGCCCTCTGCTCATTGCTCTGTTCGCCACATCCATACAACGGCTGCACACCATGGCCGCCCTCCACATCATCTTTAGGTTCCCTGCCAACGGGTGAAGTCGCAGCAGTCAGCATCCTTTTCACCCCGGTGGATGTCTCTTCAGCTTGAGGTGTAGACTGTAAAGAGGAAGTTTGTTTAGAATTCAGAGCAGCAGTGAGATCTCAAAACAATGGAAACGAGCAAAGTATGGACTAATAATCGATATAGCTTCAGGGTAAGCTCTATTGCTTCAAAGCATTTAGTTTTTGACTCAGGTTTATAGAATGATTGTAAAGAAGCTGATTCATAGAAGTCATTTGATTGCACTGCACATCTATGAATTGTGTGCTAACTCAGTCGGCTGCTAGTTTCATCTAGCCAAAAGAAAGCTTAAGATGCAAACTGTGCTGCAGTTCTCGAGTGTTTAGGATCATACGCTCATTTTAAACACCTACTAGTGAACAACCAAAATTAGTCTAAGCAATACTCTGCTGGAAAATGAAAATGGAGTGAAAAAAAGCAAACGAGGAAGTACTTTAAAGAAGGCGAGCTCACCTCTCTGAACCCTGTTTGCTTCTGCTCATCGGAAGTTCTGTTCTCCTGACCTGCCTGACTGTCCTGACACAACCGTGCCACGAGTTCATCCCTACAATCCTTCATGGTAAATTCCACAGTCATCTGCTCACTGCTCTGTTCTCCACTTTCATGCAACGGCTGCACACCAAGGCCGTCCTCCGCATCATTTTTAGGTTCCCCACCAACGGGTGAATTCGCCGCAGTCAGCATCTTCTTCACCCCGGCGGATGTCTCTTCAGCTTGAGGTGTAGGCTGTTTAGAGGAAGTTTGTTTAGAATTCAGAGCAGTAGTGAGATCTCAAAACAACGAAAGGAACAAAGTATGAACTGATAATCGATGCAGTTTCAGGGTAAACTCTAATGTTTCAATGAATCTGCTTTTGGTGGTGAGTTCATAAAAGTCATTTGATTGCACTGCACATGTACGAATCGTGTGCTAACGCAGGAGTCGTGGCGGTTGTATGCCACAAGGTCCCTATAGACAAGGGGATAACTCAGTCGGCTGCTATTTTCATCTAGCCAAAAGAAAGCTTAAGATGCAGACTGTGCTGCAGTTCTCGAGTGTTTAGGGTCATATGCTCATTTTAAACAACTACTAACGAACATCCAAAATTAGTCTAATCAATACTCTGCTGGGAAATGAAAATAGAGTGAAAAGAAAAGGCAAATGAGGAGATAAAACTAAAGAAGGCGAGCTCACCTCTCTGAACCCTGTTTGCTTCTGCTCATAGGAAGTTCCATTCTCCTGACCTGCCAAATTGTCCTGACACAGCCGTGCCACAAGTTCATCCCTCCGATCCTTCATGGTAAATTCCGCAGTCATTTGCTCACTGCTCTGCTCTCTGCTTTCATGCAATGGCTGCACACCATGGCCGTCCTCCACATCAAGTTTATGTTCCCCACCAGCGCCCACTCGGTCTCCAGGTGTCACTTCCTCGGCACACGACGCGGACAGCATCGTCACGGCGCCAGCATTGGCCGCTTCTGGCACCAATGCACCTTCGGGCAGAGTCCCATTTCTCGGCGATTGGCAGCCGTCCACACCGCCACTGAGAATTGGACGCTCCGTCGAGCCAGACGACTCGCCCTCCTGCTGTTGCTCGCCGTCATCAGCGGGACGTGGTGGCTGCGGCAACCGCTCCACGTGCGGGTACAACGGAGGTGGTCTCGCCGCCGCGGGGATCCCGTAGGGGCAGGGAGGATGCTCCGTAACCGCGAGCGGCGGGCGGGGAGCCGCCTCATCCCAAGGAGGCAGCCACTGCGGCCTGCGTTGATGCCAGTAGTCCTGCGACGGCGGCGACGCCTGCATGGACCAGTGGCCAGCGTGGCCAAAGCGCGCCGCCATGGCGCGCTCCGTCTCGGCGAGCTCGCGCAAGAGGATGTCCTGGCGGATGCGCTCCTTGTGAAGCTCCCACAGCAACTCCTCCCTCCTCTGCGCCGCCGGATTGATGTTGCCTGCTCGCCGGTGGCAAGAGAATTGTCAGATGTTCAAGATTAAAACGCCGGCTAATGCAAACAAATTACCCGCATCATCTTCTACGTCACATCGGAGAAATCGAATCTCTTTTTTTTTTCAAACTTATTGCAGACACTGGAAATTTAGGGGTGATCGGTAACGCAAGAAGTCACAGTTCTTTGCCAGAAAAAAATATATACATATTTACGCATAGAGAAAGAAAATCCCCTCTTCTCCGGTGGGGAGAAGCGCTTGTAGAGCAAGATTAGGGAAACGACGAGTGTGTTAGGTTGGAGTCGCGTTACCCTGCGGCGGCGGCAGAGGGTCGGGGAAGCGGCGGGGACGGCTCTCGTTGGAGTCGCCGGCGACTTCCATTGCGGATTTACGGGGCGGATAAATTCGTAAAGTAGGGATATGTCGAAGGAAGGGGAACGAGAAGTTGCTGAATTTAATTTACGGCGGTGACTGGTGACGTGGTGAGTGGTGCAGTTCCCCGTTCCGGAAAATCCTCTCTGATTGGCGATGCGGGCAGTTTCAACACGTGGGTCCACTTCGCCGGGGAGATTTTCTTCTCAATGCAGCGACAGTTCTTTCCAAAATTAAATTTGAACTCTGGGCACAATCCTGCTTTTTTAAAAAAAATGTTGTACCATATATAAGTGTTATGGTATAAATATATATAATCTCGGTTTTTTTTATTACACAGTACAACTTAGACACTCACAATGCACGCACACTCACATCTATGAACGCACATACGCAAACCCTACCTCTATAAACATCTTCGAAGACCGAGCCGGCAAATCCTCGAGATTGACGAAGTCACCACTGGCGTCTCGCTGTCGACGGCCACGTCGCCTACCGCTGAAAGCACAAAGCCGTTAAATCTTAGAAAATTCGCTCCTACGGGGAGTCGAACCCAGGACCTCAAAAATACTACTTGGGTGCCTTAACCATTAGGCCAAGATCCCTTTCACATATATAATCTCTTTCAGTTTCACGAAGTAATGCTACGCCTACTTAACATTTACGTGATTGCAATGTAATCCATCTTAAATCAGCTCCGACGTAGTTTGGACCCATTGTGAAAGCCCGGTCCAAAAAGAATAGGTCCATGTAAATATGCAACACTTAGGTACGAGAATAGTCTCACATTGCTTAGTAAAGTTGAGCAAAGACTAAAGGAACGATTGGTATGGTTCTAGATTCACAAAGAATCATAAACATTTCAGTTTCAGCCTAAAAATGTTTCTCAAGAAGAGGAGTAGCAAAATAACTCATTTACTTTTTAGTTCAAAAGAATTGTCATTGCAAAATCATGTCATAGTTAATTTAAAAGGAAAAGAAGTGTATTTGATGGGCTCTCTAGGCCCGTCTAGCCAGCCACCAGAGGATGTTGTAGTGTTAGGCCCAGCGAGTCTACCAAACCCACAAAAGATGTCCTGCTCATCTTGTTCCTAGCGACGCCTGACTCTTAGCGCATAGAATACAGAAAAGAGAGAAAGGTAGAGCCATGGATCTATTGGCAGTGTTTCAGCGACTAACCGGAAGGGAGAAATTAGGATAAATGATGTACAAATCAAGAGCAACCCATTTTTTAGGTTGGATTTGAAGTCGAAGTTTAGGTGATGCTCCGGGCGACAGCGGTGACGGAGGAACAGGGTTCAGAACACCTCTTCATTAGTTTCATGCTCGTAGGCCAAAACTACAAATTGCTCCGAACTAATTCTCGTACAAAAGGTTTCGAAAATTTCACCGTTTGGAACCGTTCCAACTGATTCTACTCAGAATCAGAAACGTTTTGCGCATCCAAATGCACATTAAGTTAAAAGCCCAATCTCAAAATGCAGTAATAATTGAGTTTAGCTTTTACGTGAAGCTATGACAAAAGCATAGTAGTTATTTCTGTAAAGAGAGGCCGCTCAACGTGCGAGCGGGTCTGGAGCCGTATTTTGGTTCTTTCTTTTTCCCCCTAATGTTTAGTCACTTTTAGGATGATTAGGGTGACTAAGAGCTAAAAAAGTAGTCATTTTTAATCGTCATGTTTGGATCCAAATTAACTAAAATTAGACAGCTAAAAGTTTAGGAGACGAATCAAAACAGAGCCTTTGATAAAATCTTTTTTTTTTACTACCAAAATCTTATTACTCATGTCATTGGTTTCCGTTTCAAAACTGACTCAAGTCAGTTGTATTAACACTAACTAGGCTAACTACCCGCGCATTTGCGCGGCTAGTTTTTTTTTAAAAAAATATATAATTGTGGAAGTTTACCATGATGATACCTTTCTTTTCTCTTCTAATCCAAAATCATATCAATCTAATTAATCTATAATACCAAATCTTGTACGCATCCAATGGGGCCGGGTATGGTTCCTTCATTTACATCATTAAAAATGTGAATTTAGGGCTCTCTCGCCCCCCCCCCCCCCCCCCCCTGAATTTCATATTTTTGGGATTTTCTAGGCATGCCTTGGAGTCCACTATGCTTTGTTCTTTTTCAATTTGATTTTCCTGGTTTATAGGAATATACGTTACATCAGTCATAAACATAAGGCGATAATTGATAAGTTAATTTGAATTGTTTTAGTAGTCCTACATATTTGCCTAATTGGTTATATTCTTTTAAAATAAATTCTAACAATTGATTAGAAAATAAAATCTATCAATTAAATAAATTCTAACAAAGTTTAGACTAACTGAATAATATGTTCCATTCTAGCAAGCAAGAAGTTGTGTTTCCCATCTAAACTCAATGGCCTGGAGGTTTGATCATTTTCTCTTCATGCATGATTTTGAACGTGGCTTCTTCCTAGGATCAAAATCTAGGTATTATTATTAAAATATTGAGGGATCTGATCTCTGCAGCCGTTACATGTGTGAGGAATAGCTTAATCTCCTACAGAATTCATTGCAGGCTTAGCTTTACGCCACCGCTAATTCTACTGTCGTGTGTGCTCTGAAGTCGTCCTTGCTCGCACATTAAAAGATGAGGGTTGTTTGGTTGGGTTTCTTAAACCGTCAACCTTGCCGCTCGCATGCTCAAAGCACCGCCGCTTGCCTCCCCATAGCGCTGCTGCCGGGAGTCTTGTTCGCTCCAATCTGAAGCATTGTTACCCCCGAGCTTTAGTTACCAAATCGTCACCTGCTAGTTCGAAATCGTCTCTGGCTCTCTGCTTGAAGATGCTTAACTCATGGCTGGTTTTTCTTTTTCGAGCACTGCTTAAGTCGTGGCTTGTGCTAAAGGCCAGAGTCCTCGCCGTTTTCGATAAGAAAAAGGGATCAAATCTAATCACACCTGTGGGGCTTGCAAATTAGTTTGATGTGCGAAGCAGTTCAATACTTGAACCTCCAACATGCCACATGGTCAGCAACAGGGGCGCTCCGCACGGCATCGCTTGCAGATTTTTTTGTTTTGTTTTGTTTTTGCTGCAGTCTATCTTTGCCGTCAGGATGTAAAGACACTTTCTTTGCTATAGTTTCATGACATATCAACATTATAGGAGGTCTTACGTGAGATTGATAGTTAGGGGGTAAATTAATATATATTGGCATACATATAGAGGTATTTTTTATTATTTCGAATTTAGCTATATTTTGACTCATAATCGCGTGGTGGGTAATTTAGAAATAGGGGCGAGGAGTATTTTTGGCTATTTTTATTATTCCGAATTTAACTGTTTTATAAATATTTGTAGGGGGTTTTGTGACTAATTGTTTCATAATGACAGTGGTGGGTAATTTTCTCTTCTTATTTTCTCGGATTAACATGAGAATTTCTAGTACTTTAGAGCGAACGTGGTGGCTCCTTTTTCTCGTCAATTATATATATAATAGATAAGGCGACTAGTCTGGTTGTGAATGGGGAGCAAGTCACACAATAATACAATTTGATTAATCAAATTGAAAAGCTTCCACCGAACTGAATTACATTGCATGTAGCTAGTGCTATACTGCTCCGCGTCTGTTTAAAAAAAAAAAACCCTGCTCCGCGTCAGCACGAGGCAATATGCGAGACGAGGTGCGGCAAACAGAGCAGTTGATCAGTACAGCATCTGTAATTATATAGATTTTGTAGCATGTTCTTCAAAAGAACATTTCACGTATACTTTTAGTTCAAGCGAGTGGTGATTGACCGACTGATAGGTCGAATGGCAAGCCTGTTTTACAGTATACATAGTAGTAATTGGCCTCCTCTATATTTTGCTCCGCCGTCGTGTGGTTCAGCATTTCCTACCATTTCCATCTAGATCCGTCACCGAAGAATTTGGACTGAGTGATGATTGATTTGTTAGACTAAACAGGATTTTATGATTCAGTGGTTTGGGGCTTTATTTTACAGGTTGCCACATGCAGTGAAAGAGTTCATACCATTACAACGTTTCTTTATAAATTTCACGCTATGTAGTTTTACGATAAGATTAATATATAGATATATTTTATTAAATACTGAAACCTGTATAGAAACCAAGCATATGCACGAGATAGAACAAAAAGAAAAAATAAAACCACGCATAAGATACATGCTGTTATGCCTTGCACGGCCTGCATCACTCTGAAGTCAGAAGTCGGTAAACATAACGCATGGAACTAAGTCCAAGTCTGTGCGCAGATTCTTTATTTCAGTGACATCGAATGAACGACGGGCTCAGGAATGCCTAACAAGCATGCTTATTTCTTGCAACTGAGCAGTGCGGTTTGCAGCTGTTTTGCGAGTCAGAAGGCGATAGATGCCCTTGTGGAGTCGAACCTCCAGATGAAGCGGTGGTCGTCGGAGTTACCAGTCAGGCGCTCGACAGCACACGGCACGGTGAGGGAGGTCATGGCGCCATCGTGCTCCCACGAGATCCTTGCCATGCACGGGAAGGCCCCTCCGTTGTTTGGTAGCCGCGAAGCAGGGCGCAACGTCTGGACATTCAGCACCACCTCGCCGTTGATCCGCCTCGACGTGCCGGCGCCTGGCAGGGTGTCGAGCCACGGGCACACCGGCTGCCCCACCATCTCCTTGTACGCGTCGTTCACCACGAGGATGCGGTTGTGGCCATCCGACACGACGGTGGGGCAGGCATCAAGTTCAACCTCAGCCTCCACCTCCTTTATTATCTTCTTGGACACCCCCTCCCCCTTTGATGCTGCCGATTTGTCCCCCATGATGTTTCTTAAGTCGATGCAGATGGTGGTGCGTAGAGGGCGCATGGGACGCGGCGCGATGACCTTAGGTACCTTCAGATTGGAGAGCAAACCGCGCTCCATAGGGACGACCCTCGTCAGAGAATCCGACAGTGGCGCCGACGACAAAGCGTCGGGCACCGCCAGTCTCATGAGAGGGTCATCACCTGTTCGAAGAAGACGAAGGTTGTAGTCCTCTTTCGTGTCGCGCTTGTGCACCCCATTAGCGCTTGCCGCGGAGCTTGGGGCCGCCCGCGGTGGCAGCGGCGGCACCAGCATCAGCGTGGGCTTTGGCACGATGGGGTAGAATTGCTTCATGATCTCATCGGTCTTGTTGGTCGCTTCTATGCGCTGTATCATGAAACCAAAGTTGCTTGATCAGTCAAGATCCCATTCTTGGTCGGTGTTGGTGGGGAACGTTTAGGCCTAGGCAGGGGGATTAATTAAGAAGAGACAACAATCGACCGATTAGCTGGTTGGGGCATGAGGTCGGCTGCGTCGTCGGCCACGGGAAGGCGGTAGGCTGGACACGTATGCTATCGTGCATGGCACATTACATGGACTGCTAGATAGGGTAAAGCTTTCGTTTCAGTTCCATCTTTTCGATGGATGGTGAGCGGTGCGTGTCTTTAGCAATTAATCGGTTTGTATTTACTTTGGGTTTCGTGCATGCATGCATGGAGTTTGCAATTGTGGTTGTGCATCTGAGCACGCCAGTTTTAGTTGGCACAAATATCCACTTTTTTTAGAAAGACGATGCTAACTGAAAGGAAAGTGTTTGCTATTTTAATGAGCAAAACC